GAAAGTATTTGTTAAGCATGAATAATTGTCCCTATTTTGTATATCAATCATTATCTTGTGTTGATGACCTTCTCGGAAAATCCTTAGTGCCAGGGGACTATAATGCAACTGCACATCTTGTTTTGAAAGTCCCTTGTGCTGAAGGACTCTAAACTTTCGCAGCACATCTTGTTTTGAAAGTCCTTTGTGCTGGAGGACTCTAAACTTTCGTAGCATATCTTGTTTTGAAAGTCCCTTGTGCTGGAGGACTCTAAACTTTCGCAGTACTCTCGTGTTAAAGGTCTACGGGCCTTTGTAACATAGGTCCCTTGTGCTAAAGGACTCTAAACTTTTGTAGCACCCTTGTTTGAGATATCTCCCTTGCTTTGACTTGTTTTGCCACTGACGGTTTACCGCGTGGATATGTTTGCCGGAATGTTATCATTTGTAATATGTTGATGCTAGTAAGCATCCCTTGAAGCTTTGAAGATTTGTTAGATGGACGAGGTCCATCCCTTGTTATATTAAGTTTTGACTTGTATTGTTTTGAAAGGACTCCGGCTATTATTCATGCAAACCCCTTTATTATTTATATCATTCACTGAGTATCCAAGCTCACCCTCTCTATATATGTGTAGGTGATGAGCAAGAAGGCGATGACGCCTAGATGTGATTCGCGAGCTTGTTTTTGGGATTTTTGATCATGTCGGCTTGACTTGTATTTACGTCGGCAGTCTTGAAAATTATGCTTCTCAATTTGTAATACTTGTATTTTGCACACGTCAGCTTGAAAAGCCTTTTGATCAAGATGTAATTTGTACTTGCTTCACTTGTAACTAAGTTGTAACCCATATGAAGATGTTTGCTATTTCATCTGACTTATGCACAACTCTTGTGGACTAATCTGATTTGTATGTATCGCTTCCGCACATGTTAGCCCCATATATTTATACCTTGATTGTGTGTGAATCTTGAAAGTTGGCTTTCGGCAATCTCGGATTACTGGCCATCATGGCACCAAACTACTAGGGGCAGTTTGGGGTCGTGACATTATCGGTATAAGAATGCATTAATATCAATATGTAATATATTTTTATACATCAATAGTTGTTGAGTCTCGTTTTATGTGTCATGAATATATTGTATGATGAAAAATATAATATTAGTCATTAGTTATATTATCATTTATGTAGAAAATGTAAAATAGTTTTTGAAGAAAATGGAATGATATTGTACCTTAATATTTCGATCGATATAGGAATTTTATAATTGTTTTCACAGTACTTATAGATCCATGCTTATAACTATTTGTAAGGTCATTTTCATGAAACTATCAAGTTACATAATTTATAATGTCATCTATTAATAATTAGCATATGACAAAAATTGATTAAAACTTTTATTTGATGTACTTACTTTCTATATCAGTGAGTTGTTGCGATAATGTTTGGGCATCATTTGAATTTTTTTTTTTTTTTTTTTTTTTGTAATTTGACTAAAATGTGTGCATGAGGTACATTATTTTTCTTGAACTTCACAACAGATAGGATAATTCATGCTTCAACTCGTCTAACTTTGCTTCGAGAGCATGTTGCAATAGATCTTCTGTACTTTTTGTTTCACCATCTTCTTGTTTTTCTTCTTACTTAGCATTACAACTCATTGCAATAAAAATGTTTGGATGAGTAGAGTTTAAGGCGATATCATATTGTTATGAATTTCAAAATCCATTTACCCTCAATAATGTGATTTTTTCTGTAAAGAAAAAAAGTACAATTATTATCGCGATGGAGGTTTTTTGCAAAGTCTTGTTTTGAATTTTTTTATTTTCATATTTTTGTGTCTTTGACACCGTTTTTTTTTTTTAATAACCCTTTAGATTCACTTAATTTAATAATACTTTTTTATTTTTTAATTTTACTTTTAGATTTAGATCCACTAAATCTAAATACACTTAGAAAATAATTTGTTGCGTGTTCTTTTTGAAAAAAAATTATTTATATTATATAATAATAATAACAGCAAAAAAATATAATAATAAAAAATCAATACATGTTCGAATTTATAAATATTTTACTTTTTAATTCTATTTAGATTATTAAATATTAGATATTCATGTAAAAGTATAATTTAAATATAAAATATGAAGAAATTATAGTGTCTTTAATTATCAAAACTGAGAAAATATAAAAAATGAACAAAAAAAATATGAAACATCAAAAACTGAAAAATAGATTTAAAAAATGAAACCAACGAAAGTGGTTAATGTTTAGAATTTTGACATCATACTTTGGTTATTAAAGTACCATATAAAATATTATAGTTTAGAAAATCTAATCTAAACAAAAAGAGAGTGTGGGAAGATAACCTATAAATTTTTGAGACACAAATCTCTGTTTTAAAAACGTATATACTTTCCTTTGTCAAGATTTGAATAAATGCATAAAATTTTAAAATTCAACCAAAATTATTCACATCGATTTGATCCACGATGGACAATTGTAATTATTATGTATATTAATATAAAAGTAGACATGGGAAATAATAAAGAATAATTATTTTTTGTTTTTCAATCATCACCAATGTAAAAAATAAGGAGACCTTTTCCTCTTTTATTTATTTATTTATTTATTTTTATAAGAAGCGAGACGACTTATTTATGTTTTTATAAGACTCTTAAAAGCAGATATATCGTTTTTTAGTGTTTAACTCCAAAAATAAAGAGATAGTTTGTTTATATAAGATTTTTTATCACTTTTAGAAAAGAGATTATTTCATTTTTATCCCTATACTTTGTCACGATTTTCAATGACTTTAAAATTCAACCAAAATTATTCACATCGATTTGATCCATGATGGACAATTGTAAATATTATGTATATTAATATAAAAGTAGACATGGGAAATAATAAAGAATAATTATTTTTTGTTTTTCAATCATCATCAATGTAAAAAATAGGGAGACCTTTTCCTCTTTTATTTATTTATTTATTTATTTTTATAAGAAGCGAGACGACTTATTTATGCTTTTATAAGACTCTTAAAAGCAGATATATCGTTTTTTAGTGTTTAACTCCAAAAATAAAGAGATAGTTTGTTTATATAAGATTTGCATGACTTTTAGAAAACATATAGTAGATTTGAGAGGATAAAATTGAAATTTAAAAAACAAAAGTAGAAAACCTGATAGGCTCTTCACACTTTTAAAATAGTAGTAGATTTACAGATTAATAAAAAAAAAATTATGAATTTAATTATTAATGTTTATAAAGTTTATCATTATTTTTTTTTTAAATGCATCGACTTGTAATTCTCCCTAAATTATTTGTTTTTGACAACACATCACCATCTGTTGAATTTAATTATTAATGTTTATAAAGTTTATCATTGATTTTATTTTTTTTTTAAATGCATTGACTTGTAATTCTTCCTAAATTATTTTGTTTTAGACAACACATCACCATGTGTTTGTGATGTGTCAGAATTAATCTAGATGGTATGAAAATATAAAAATAAATAAGACAAATTATAATAGTAGTTCCTATATTTTGGTTCTTATTTTAGTTTCTGTAATTTCAATTGGCTCGATTTTAACCACAAATTTATGACTTTGTCTTACTTTGGTCCAATTGATTACAACAATTACCATTTTTTAATAAAAAATATGCATGTAAGTGTCATGTGTCATATTTTTAAAAGTAAAATTTTAAACTTACCCAACTCATTGAGTTAATCTCAACTAATTTAGTGATAATTTTTCTTTTAAAATACTAACGATATTATCAATTGGACCAAATTGACCCAAAATTTAAAATTAAGGGTTAAAATCGAGTCAATTGAAAATGTAACGACCAAAATGACATAAGGGATAAAATATAGGGATTATCGATGTAATTTTTCCAAATAAATAATATAAAATATAAATTCTAGTGTAATGAAAATCACAATACTATTTTGTTATTTATACAATTAACGAATTAGTGATAAAAATTAGACAGATGTTATGTGAGTTAAAACGTTAAAACAGCTTAAATTTAAAAAAAAATAAAAATAAAAATAAAAATAAAATAAAAAAAAATAAAAAAATCATACAAAATTCGACAAATGTCATGTGAGTTAAAACGTTAAAACCGCTTAAATTTATAAAGTTCACAAAAAAAAAAAAAAAAAAAAAAAAAAAAAAAATCATACAAAATTCTACTCCAACCCCAAAGACGGGCACACATAACCATCACATTAATTGGACATGTTGCATCCCATTTTATTAAAGGAGGCTCATCCATCCACATCTTCGAAATTTCATGCCTCACCCTCTCTTGATCTTTTCTTTCTTCATTCTCATTTCTCGAATTTATATTTTTTAATAAGGTAAATTATTCTCGTGGTTAGTATGCGTGTAAAGGCTTAGAAATAAACAATTCCTAAATTGTTAAAAAAATAACCTAACTCGTCATTATAAGATCCCAACCTTCCTGGCAATGGAAGTCCAACGGTAGACAAGACTGAAACTCTAAAATAATTGAATATCACTCCTAAATTCACACATAATGGCATGATAGGAGTTGTATCTTAAGTGTTTGATTTATATATGAATCAAAAACTGATATATAGCGATTTATATCATTGAAGGTAAATTTAGGAGTGAGATTTTAAAATTCACAAGTTTTTTCCACCAAAAAATGAGCAACCAACCATATCACCAGAATTATCCTCACTGCTCACCAAAACCAATTATCAGACAACCAGAACATTGAGTTCATGTGCATCATTTTTTGGGGTTCTCAAGATCTAGAGGGGAACATTTTTATTCATTGTGGCACAGGCTTGCTGCAAGAAAAATGAGAAATGCCTATCCCAAACATTCTACCAAATCTCTCACATGCGGTGAGACTCACACAAATCCACATGTGTGTGAGTCCCACACCGTTTGGAAGAATATTTGATAGAATATTTGGGGTCCCTATCATAACTCATGAAAAATATAAGAAACTTTTTAGCAGTTGAGGTTTCAACACCATATGTTTGCAACTTGAAAAAAAAAATGCGAAATTTATTTGATGATATATAGCAATCCTCGTACATAATAGTTGGAACAACATGGTCCTGAAAAAACATGACACTCTACATTTCTAAATGGACTTTTATTTTATTTTTTTGATGGGAAACTGATCAGGCATAGACTTTAATCATTTATGGAGTCGATACTTGTAGTAGTGAAATTGCTCGAAGAGGTGTAGCTAAAGTCTTCCTGCGAGAAAGAAACTGTTGAGAAACATGTTGCATTGTTGGGCGAGATCTTGGCTCAGAACCCACACATGCAAATGCCACAGTAACAACAAAAGCAATGTCCCCTACAACCACTGGATTTGTTGGAGGCGGAAGGCGTGGGTCCAAGACATCAGTGAGCATTATGTTTGTAGCAGATTGCGATGCCAATGATGAGAGGAGCTCTCCCGGATGCCTTCCCATCATTGTTTCTAGCGCCACCACCCCAAAGCTATAAGCATCAGATTTTTCGGTCACAACCATGGAGAAGGCATGTTCTGCACAAACAAAAAGATCAATCAAAGATACCAAAGACACCACTTTTAAAGAGGTTGATGAAACGTGGTTTTATAAAATATTTATCCCTCATGAATAATTGAATTCAAATAATAATAATTTTGTTAGTCACTAATATGTAAATATTTTACACATCTTTTTTTCTTCTCATTTTTTGAAAACATAAATACATATGAAGGAAAAAAGTACTTTTGCTACCTGGGGCAATATACCCATAAGTTCCTGCAATTACAGTTCGATTCGATGAATTCAGATGTAGCAGTCTGGCAATGCCAAAGTCAGAAACAAAAGCATCCAATTCAGAGTTCAATAGAATGTTTTTGCTCGATATGTCTCGGTGAACAACCGGTGGGATGCAATCATGATGTAAGTAGGATAGAGCATGTGCTATTGCTTTAACAATGTTTACCCTTAGAGTCCATCCTAATTCAATAGCTTCGGTATCAATTCTCAGGGCGCAAAACAAGCTTCCCCTTTCCATGTACTCGTACACCAGGAACATGCATCTTTTGTGCAAACAGAAACCGTAAAGCTTTACTATGTTTCGGTGTCGTATGTTAGTTAACATTTGCACCTCATTTCTGAAGCTCCTGTCAATTGTTGGATCCTCAGCTTCGAAACCATGAAGCTTCTTCAACGCAAATACCTTGCCGCTAGGCAATTGTGCTTTGTAGATGCTGCCATAACCACCAGTTCCTATGCAATATCTATTGTCAAAATCATTTGTTGCCATAATGATGTCTTCGTATGCGATTTTTCCATCATAATTCCAAATCGAGCACATATCCCCACTGTTCACCACTCTTGCCACACTTTGGTTCTTTTTAGCCTTAGACTGAGAAAAGAGCACAAATCCAAGTGAGGCAAGCAAAACTGTGATGGGAAGAGAAATGACGAGAGTAAGCATGACTATATTCTTCTTTTTGTTTGGACACGCATTCTGAGGTCTATGTGGGATTTGACCATCGAGAGCATTGTATGACAAGTCAATAGATCGCCCCAATTGGAAGGAGCGAAGAGAACTGGGAATTTCACCAGAGAGATCATTGTGAGAAAGATTTAAATAGACCAACCGTGGATAATATGCTAGTCCAGAAGGTATTGTTCCACTCAAACAGTTACTACTCAATCCCAAGTGCATCAAATAGCTTTGTTTTTCTAGGTCATTTGGGAGAGGTCCGCTGAGCTGATTTTGAGACAGGTCTAGATACTGAATTGTATAGTTACTTTTGATGGTTAGTATCTCACCTGAAAGTTTGTTTGATGACAAATCAAGATAACCAAGCATGGGCAAATCCCCAAGTTTAGGAGGTATCGCTCCATTGATCTGATTTGCAGACAAATTAAGAGAATTCAGTTCCTTCAATTGACACAGAGAAGATGGGATTTGACCTTTGAGGAGGTTATGGCTGAGGTCCAAGAGGGTCAAATACGTGAAATGCCCTATCTCTAGAGGAATTGGACCATGAAGTTTGTTGAGTCCCATATTCATTTCAACAAGATTCACCAGACTCCCAATTTCTTGAGGGATGGAACCACTAAATTGATTTGAATGAAGATACAAAGATGTCAAATTGGTCAAATAACCGATACATGGAGGAATTGGACCAGTGAAGTTGTTATTACTTATATCCAGAACAACCAAGCTTCTCAGATTTCCAATTCCTATTGGGATGGAACCACTAAGTTGATTTGAACACAGACGCAAATAGGCCAAATTGGTCAAATGGCCAATAGACAAAGGGATTGAACCAGTGAGGCTGTTAAAACCCATATTCATATCAACCAGATTCAATAGGTTCCCTAGTTCTGTAGGGATGGAACCAATAAGTTGATTTGAACATAGCCACAAATAGGTTAAATTGGTCAAATGACCAATAGATGAAGGGATTGGACCAGTGAAGTTGTTATTACTTATATCCAAAACAACCAAACTTTTCAGATTTCCAATTCCTATGGGGATGGAGCCGCTAATGTGATTATTAGAAATGCTAAGGTGGGCAAGTTTAGTGAGGTTACCCAAGGTAAGAGGTAAATCTCCAACAATATTATTGCAAGAAAGATTAAGGTAGGTGAGGTTTGACAGAGTACCGATTTCGTCTGGGATGCCTCCAGTAAGATCAGAACGCCTGAAATCAAGACGTTCAAGGTTTGGCAAGGAAGACCAATTCAAGTCCTCCAGCTTTTTATTCTTCAAGAATTCATAAGAAAGATCTATCTGAATAACACTTCCTGCCTCGTTGCAAGTGATGTTTGCGAACTCGCAATAATTCCTTGAATAATTGTTTCCCCACCAACCGCTGTTGAGAAGAGCTTTCACCTCCGCTGACAATGAAATCGACGATAATGGTGATGATTTAGCCAATTCTAGCGCTATAATAATAATAACAATTATTGTCGCCAAGTATACTGCCATGAGTACTGGAGGAGAGTAAACAGAGAACACAGGGAGTCAATCCGTTGTTGCTAGCTAATGTGAACCAGCCTTGTAACTTCCTCAAGATTTAACTGTTAACTTACACTGCCATTGACTTTGACTTATCAAAGGAAATAGAAAATTAGAGTGCATAATGTGTTAATATTTAGGGATGCTACAATGTGCCTTGGTGTATATATATGATATGCCTTTCATAACACAACTTATAAAATTTCACAGAATTTTACTACATAAACACAAAGGGTGTGTTTGGTAACGTTTACGTTTTCAGTTTATATTTACAAAAATTTTATAAACTGGTTTTTGTTTATTTTTTATTTATTTTTAGAAAAACATAAACTACAAACGCGTTTGGTAATTGACAAAATGTTTAAAAAAATTTAAAAATATAAAAAAAATGAGAAATAACAAGTGGTGGCAAGTGGCGGCAGAAGACAAGTCCTTATTTTTTTTTGGGCATTTGCCTAAATTTGTTTAAAAACTGATTAGGTTTTGATAATAATCAGTGGGAACAACACAAAGGGAAAAAGAAAAAAACTGAGGCTCTAGTGTTGTTCATTTGCTTGAATTTGTTTAAAAACTGATTACGTTTTGATAATAATCAGTGGAAACAATACAATGGGAAAAAACAGTGTTGATACTATCGGCTACGAAACAGATTTTTGAACAAACAGATTGTTTGTTCAAAATTGTTTTGAACAAACAATACAATGGGAACAAATAGATTTTTTGTTCAAAATCTGTTATTTTGAACAAGCAGTGTTGATACAATGGGATTTTGAATAATACAATGGGAAAAAACAGATTTTCAACACTGTTTTCTAGTGTTGGGTATTTGCTTGAATTTATTTAATGCAACCATGATTCATCTAAAACTAGTTAGGTTTTGATAATAATTAATAGGAACAATACAAAGGGAACTATTTGCTGTCATTGTTCTCTTGTGAGTGGAACATGTCACAAGACTTCCACTATCTAAAATATTTGTAAATAATTTTTTTTTTAAATCAATAAATACAAAAATTTACTAATTTTTTTTGTATTTAGTGAAATTGTAAAAGATTTTTTTTTCTAAATTTTATACTTTTTAAGTGTGTTTAAATTACGTGGATCTAAAAAGTTAAAAAAATAATTAAAATATTAACAAATTTACCAAAAACAAAAGAATATTGATTGAAAACTCAAGACCAAACAGATTAATTGTTTTTATACTAAAATAATCTTTCTTTCTTTTTTGAAAACTCGAAACTACTTTGTTCCAAAAAATAAAAATAAAGAAAAGAAAACTGAATAATAATTTGTTTAATGCAACCAAATTTCTAGCCCAGCTTCTCTGGAAAGAATGGGCTAAGCCCACCGAAGCCAAAAAATTAAGCCCATGTGGTAACTACGTGACAGTATTCAAATTTGGATCTTTCACTTCATCAAATTTGAAGTTGGGCCCCGTTTTAAATTTTTTTTGATGGATGTCCTCACCCTTAGCAGAACCACACTAACTTTCATCGGAGGCCCATTCAAGCCCAATCTCGAGATCAAAAAACAGAGACATGGTTTGTTTTTCAGGGAGGCAAAAAAAAAAAAAAATCAGATTTTTTTTGAAAAAATGAAAACTAATTTGATAAAAATAAATATCAAAAAATTTATTTTCAAAATTTTAAAAATAATTTGTGATATGTCAAAAGATAAAATTATATAAAAATGATAAATGTTATTTATTTATTTCACCAAATTAATTTTTAGTTTTTTATATAAAAAAATCTGAAACAAATGTTAGAGACATTTATTATTGTTTTCTTCATCTTCTTTTTTTTTTTTTGAGCAACTGTTTCCAAAGTTGTTTTGGAATTTTATTTTATTTTCTATAAACAACCAATTTTTTGGAAACACTCTTTTTTGAATTTAAAAAAACTGGTATGGCACAAAAATAAAAATAATACAAAATGATTAGTATTTTTTAATATGTTATTATTTTGTTTTTGACTTTGACTGGAGCGGTAATTAGGGGTTTGCTAACTTGCTGGAGATGGAAGTTGGCCAACTTGGAGGAATATTTTACCAGGGTGGTGTTTTTAGTACCTCATAAATTATTTT